CATATATATATATAGCACGATTTTTGTCTGGAATAAATAACCCATTGTATATGCCATTTGTTATATTCTCCTACTTCATCAGATTGTAGATTATTTGAGTGCCCGTGACGACGGTCTTTCAGCCAGCAGCGTAAGCAGTGTGTCTGGTGGCGGGGGTGGTACTGGAGTTGTTAGTGGTCAGGGGTGCATCAGCGTGGAGGAGAAAGCGGCCGCTTACGAGCTTCTGGGGGCCAGTTTGTTTGATCGACACTCACTAGTGCAAGATGCTTTGCGTGCCTGGCTTCAAGCCATGGAGATAAGGAAACGAGCTTTTGGTTATACCAAACGCCTTCCCCATCATCACTACCCAGCCTGCTGTTTGGAGGCCGCTAACTTGCTTACATCTCCAGATGAAAACAATTTGGCTGATAAAGATGATGAAATGAGGCATGGACCTGATTGTCAAGAATCAAGAAATCCCGTAAGTCAAAGCTGCAATTATCCGACAAATTATCTCTTAGCATTCCATGCCCTAAAGTCTAGTTCTCATTTGTATGGAATAGCCAGTTTTATTTAAAATAGGGCCTATATACTGTTCATCCAGCGCTATTACGTGATTGCACTTCTGTTTATTTTTTTATTGTTGAGGTTACTTCCATTTCGAGTGAAAGTGTTGAGTGAAGAGATTATAAGGTCGGTTCCACCAGAAGATGACGGCGGATTCCTTGACCAGCTGTTGATTGGCTTTACTGGAAGATTCATGCTGACGCTTTTTCCCAGCCAATCTTCTTCAATTCCGATGAAAAGGTGCTAAGCTTTCGTCCGTCATATGACGGGCATCATCAGAGCGAGGTAATATCCTCACAACGAAATTCAAGCTAACGAGTCAAGAAAACTCACCGGCAAAACCCTAAAAAGTGATATATATACTCTAAATCTGGCCTCTTTGATCAAGTATAAAATAATTTGGTTAGTTAAGGTCATATGCCAACTTCGATGCATGTGAGTGTGTCTGTCTCTGTATTTGTATGTGCCTGTTTGTGTTCACTTATGTTACAAAACAAAGGTTGGAGTTTTAAAATCTATGATAATTCGGAGCATAAGACTAGCGGATTTAAACCATTGTGACAATGAACTGAATCGGCTTAAAATAATATTTCTTGAAAATAACTATCCCTTAGGCTTGATTGAAAATAACATTGGATTAATAAAGAATAGCTTTTTGAATGGTGAATACGTAAGGAGAGATAAAAACCTTTTCTCGTATTTTGTCCTTACCTTTGTGCGTTCTCTTTAAAAGGATAGGTGAGCAAGTAAGGAAGTGGGGAATAAAAACTGTCTTCAAGGAAACTACGACACCTTCAGTTATGCCCACGTTTAGAGAGAAAGTTGACCCATTATCCAGATCGGGTTGCTACATCATAATCTGTTCATGTGGTCGTTTTTATGTTGGAGAGACCTGTCGTCCCATTCGACAAAGGGTGGCTGAACACAAAAGCGCCTGAAAAGGCTGTTGGGTTCAAAAATCGGAGCTTGCTGAGCACGGGACACGAGATTGAATGGTTTCAAACTTGTCGTTTTGCTGATTATGGAATGTTTGCGGCCAAACGTAAAATTAGAGAAGCCATAGATATAAACCGAATAGGAAATATCTTGAATGTAAGAAATATCGGCAAGAAGATAAGTAAAAACTATTTGTAGAAGTGGGTTGACCTCGTTGTCGCAACTTGGTCTTGTGTTCAGGTAGAATGGCAAGTCTCACTGATGATGCCGACTACGATGCCGGCGAAACGTCTGAGAATGTATCAAGTCCAC